AAGGAGAGACTATTTCCCAAATCATTTATGAGGTATAAGGAACACTCATACTTTGTAGAAGGAAATACAAAATGGTTTAACTACTTTGGAAAACAGCTTGGCAATTTTCAATAAAACTAAACATATACTCACAATACCATCCAGCAATCCCATTCCAAGACACTTCACAAATGAAATAAAAATATGTTCACACAAAACCCTCTAAGCAAATGTTTATGTAGCAGCTGTATTTGTAATAGCCAAAACCCTAAAAGTCCTTTGGTGAATGGATGGACGAATGAACTGCAGTATACACATACAACTGACTACTACTTATCAATAAAAAGAAACTCAAACACACAACGACATGGATAAATCTCAAAAACATTACACTAGGTGAAAAAAGTCACCCAAAAGGGTGTGTATACACACATTACATAATGTATGCTTCATTTAAATGATATTCTCGGGGCACCTGAGTGGGTCAGTCGGTTAAGCGTCCGCCTTTGGCTCAGATCACGATCTCAGGGTCCTGGGATCAAGCCCTGCATCCAGCTCCTGACTCCTCAGGGAGCCTGGTTCTCCCTCTCCCTCTGCCTGCCACTACCCCTGCTTTGAGCTCACTCCCGCTGTCTCTCTCTCGAATAAAATCTTAAAAAATAAATGAATGAATGAATGAATGATATTCTCGAAAAGATAAAACTATAGGTAGAAAAAAATCAATGACTGCCAGCAACTGGAAGTGGAAGAAGTGGTTTACTACAAAGTCAAGGTGAATTACTGAGGGTGATTAAGCTGTTCTTTATCTTGACTGTGGTGGTGGTGGTAGTCACACGACTATTTTCACTTGTCAAAACTCCCAGAACTTCATACTTTAAAAAAAGGTGTATCTGTTTATAAACTATACATTATCATACAAACACTAATCAAAGCAAAACTGGAACATCTCTATTATCATCAGACAAAGCTGACTTCAAATAAGGAATTTTATCAGGAATAGAAGAGGGACATTAAATAATTATAAAAGAGTCAATTCACCAAGAAGTCAAACAATCCTAAATGTCTATGCATCCAACAACAGATCTTCAAAATACACGAAGTAAAAATTGATAGATCTTTAAGTGGATATAGACAAACCCATAATTACATGTGCATACTTTAACACTCTTCTCTCATTAAGGATATCAGTATCTTGATAAGGATATTAATATCTGTATCGATAAGTACCTAGATTAACAACATTATCAAACAACTTGACCTAACTGACATTTATAGATTACTCCATCCAACAGGACAATACAAATTCTTTTCAAGGCACATGGAATATTCATGAACACAGATCACATTCTGGGCCATAACACAAACCATATAAAGTATGTTTTCTAACCATAACTAGATTAAACTAGAAACCAATAACAACAACAAAAAAAAATCTGGAAAAATTCCATATAGGGAAATTGATTAGTACCTTTATTAATTATACATGGGTTAAAGGGGAACACAAAGGAAATTTAAAAATATTTAGAATTGTATAAAAGTTAAAACAGGGCGCCTGGGTGGCTCAGTCGTTAAGCGTCTGCCTTCGGCTCAGGTCATGGTCCCAGGGTCCTGGGATTGAGCCCCACGCCGGGCTCCCTGCTCGGCGGGAAGCCTGCTTCTCCCTCTCCCACTCCCCCTGCTTGTGTTCCCTCTCTCGCTGTCTCTCTCTCTGTCAAATAAATAAATTCTTTAAAAAAAATACAAAATTAAAAAAAAAGTTAAAACATAACATTTGAAATGCATATGAACCAGTTAAACAGTGCTTAGAGGGAAACATAAAGTACTAAATGCTTACAATAGAAAAGAAGACTCAAACCGATGATCTAAGTTCCTACCTTAAGAAACTGGAAAAATTCCTCATATCAGCTGGAGTGGTGGGGGGTGGGAGGCATGGGGTGGCTGGGTGATAGACATTGGGGCGGGTATGTGCTATGGTGAGCACTGTGAATTGTGTAAGACTGTTGAATCACAGACCTGTACCTCTGAAACAAATAATACATTATATGTTAAAAAAAGAAGACAGTAAGAAGGGAAAAATGAAGGGGTGAAATTGGAGGGGGAGATGAACTGTGAGAGACTATGGACTCTGAGAAACAAACTGAGGGTTCTAGAGGGGAGGGGGGTGGGGGGAATGGGTTAGTCTGGTGATGGGTATTAAAGAGGGCACGTTCTGCATGGAGCACTGGGTGTTATGCACAAACAATGAATCATGGAACACTACATCAAAAAAAAAAATAGAGCTATTAAAAATGAAAAAAAGAAAAGAAAAAAAAGAAAAAGAAACTGGAAAAAGAAAAAAGAAACTGCAAATTAAACACAATATTAGATAAGAGCAGAAATCAATGAAATTGAAACAGAAAAGCAAGAAAGAAGAAAAAATAAAATCAAAAGTTGGTTCTTTGAAAAGATCAATAAAATGGATAAACCTCTAGCCAGGCTGACCAAGAAAAAAATGACAGTAGACATAAATCATCAAAATCAGGAACACAGGGACTATCACTACACATCCTACAGATATTAAAAGGAAAATACAGGAGTGTCATGACCTTTATACCAATAAATTTGATAACTGAGATGAAATGGACAAATTTCTTTGAAAGAAAAACATTACCAAAGCTCTCCCTAAAGAAATACATATAATCTGAATAAACCCATAATATCTATTAAAGAAATTGAGTTTGTACTTAAATGCCTTCCAACACAGAGAAATCATGACCCAGATTGCTTCATCGTCACACTCTAGCAAACATTTAAGAAAAGACATAACACCAATTTTCTAAGCAAAATCTTCCAGGAAAGAGAAGAGTGAATAGCTCCCAAATTGTTTTGACGCCAGCATAACCCTGATACCAAAAAAAGACAAAAGCATTGCAAAAAAAAAAAAAGAATAATAATAACTATAGGCCAACATCCCTCATAAAAAGAAGCAAAAGTCCTTAACAAAAAATAGCAAACTGAGTCAGTAACATATAAAAAGGTTAATACATCATGACCATGTGGGGTTTATCCCTGGAACTGAAAGGTGGTACAACATTCCAAAAATTTAATCAATGTAATTCACCATACTGACTGATAAAATCTTGGGTTACGGAACCCAGAAATTAAGGTCAGGTTAAGAGGTTATACCCTCGATATTTTAGGTGCCTGTATCACTACCTTGCACAAGTCCAAAGGTATCATTTACACTGCAGTCATTGTACTCTACATGAATGATACCCCTGGAACTGGATATAGTGGTATTGCAAATGTGTAAAATGGTTGACCAAAAGGCAATGCAACTTTGCGCTGGACTAAAAAAAATAAAAGATCCAGATGAAGAGATTTTTACCTTCCAGACATTCCACTTGGCCTTGTTCACACCTGAAATACTCTGTTTAGTCCTGGAATTTATACTTCCAAGGGGAACAGTGAATTCCACCAGAGAACCAAAGTAATAACGGCAAAAGAGTTCTAGACATTTCATATGAAAAAGAGTGTAAAAAGCTGGAAGGCATACACTACACTGCAATAATTTGCTTATTTCTTATACACCCTGAGGACTGTCAATTCCTGAGGGCAGAATCCAGGCCCTATTTATCTTTATATTCCCGATAACCTATCACGGGTCCTGGAACTGGGTAAATACTCACATATGAGGGGTTCAAGAACAGGGAAAACTAAACTTTAATCATAGAAATCAGAAAGTGGGAAGAAAGGTTTGGGAGGGGCACTACAGCACTGTTACATCTTATAGCATAACGTGTCCAATGTGACCCTTTGCCCCACAGCTATCAGCTTTGTATCTCATTAGCCTGATTTGGGCACATGCCAATTTTTGATTGGTATATACTAATTAGTCCCAGCTCTCCTAGACTGTGACTCAGTCGAATCATGGAGTTTGACTCTGGAGGAAGCATGGAAAGAACACTGGAGAGACAATCATACTACCCACTAGCCCCACGTAACTAGCCAAATCATCCCAGCGATTAAACGAAGTGACAGACATCACAGCAAGATTGTTCTCATGTCCAAAACGATGTAATATAAAAAATATTAGCAACTATGTTAGATATTAGAAGAAACACCTAAGCTTCACAAATAATCTAAATTACAGATGTAATGCTCTTTCAATGAAAGACGTATTCCTGAAAAACCCTTTGAAAACAAATTCTGAAGGCAATCATATTTTCCAACAACTTGTATTAGAATTTCAAAGAGGAACAGAAATGGCCCAAGTAAGCTAAACAATTTATTGGCAAAATGAAATGTAAAAATCTTAGCAGACAACAGGAAAACACATGCTGCAAAAGGATGTATTTCATTGTCTCATAATGCAGACAAGAACTACACCCATGACCCTGAACAAGTCATGCCTCTTCCCCTCAGCCTTCATTTCCTCATCTAGAAAATAATAAATGGGTAAATAATAAAATAGATGGTCTCTTCTGCTAAGTAAAAAGTCTGGGTTTTTCTAAGTTTGTTAGGCATTAGACATGTTTATTAAACATTGACAGAATATCCAATATAGTAAACTACAATCTGATGCAAGCCTTCCTAAGACTTTATAAGTTAACAAATGAAGGAATCCTATTCCTCTAAATAAAACAGAACATAATCTCTATTAGATTTTTAAATGCAGCTCTTCACAGTATATGCCCTTACCTAGTCTTCACAGACTCAATTTTCACAAAACCTCACACTTATTTAACATAGACATGAGATTATGTGAGGCCTGATATGTACCATGACAACTTCAGTGTTTTTTCCACAAGTAGAAAATACACACTTACCTAATAATAAAGCCCCATTTAAACACACTTACAGGCACAATCAATCCCAAAATATCTAACAACTCCATAAAATAAAAGCTAGGTATAGAGGATCATTTAGACTATTACTGTTTTTCTCCAAAACGCACATTTTTAAAAGCTCTAATGCATATAAACAAAGAATCAATAAAAAATCTGTGCAAATATACACATACAATGAAATTGCGTACTGACCTTTTTTCAGCCGGGGTTTCTGAGATTCAGCAGATGCAGGAACCGGAGTTCTCTGAAAAGAAAGAAGTCTATGTTAAAGCATCACCATAAATCTTGCTAACTTAAAAAAGGATTCAAATAACCATAATCAGTAGCTCTCCAATCATGCAATTAATCCATTAACTACATATAGGCACAAAGAAAAATTAAAAACCATTTTTTAATATGGTTTAAAAAGCAATGTCAAGTCATACTTTTGCTAGCCAAACTATTAATAATGTAGAATGCACATCTACATATCTACATACTTATGTGTAATATATAATTACATATATATATATTTAAGATTTTATTTATTTGAAAGAGAGAGAGCATGAGCAGGGGAGAGGGAGAAGGAGAGGGAATCTCAAGCAGACTCTAGACAGAATGAGGAGCCTGATGTGGGGCTCGAGCCCACAACCGTGACCCAAGCAGAAACCAAGAGTCAGACACTAACTGACTGAGCCACCCAGGCACCCTGAGTAATATATAATTATAATGCATAAAATGTGCACAAATAAATGTACTAAGCTCTTAGACACTACATATTAGTATTATACTTAATGCTATACATCCTAACAGCCAAACCAAAAAAGTAGTAACTTTGATAAAAAGAAGTTTATGAGGTCTTCTATATAGAAATTACCTAGCACTCAATTCTAGGAATTGTTTTAAGATTTATTTATTTAATTTAGAGAGAGAGAGAGCAAGTACAAGCAGGGGGATGGGCAGAGGGAAAGGGAGAGAGACTCCTCAAGCAGACTCCTTGCTGAGCACTGAGCCTGATGTGGGGCTTGATCCCATGACCCGGAGATCATGACCTGAGCTGAAATCAAGAGTTTGCCACTTAACCAACTGAGTCACCCAGGCACCCCTAGGAGGGAGTTGTTTTTTTTTTAAGGGACATTACTGAATATAATAAATACTACCTTATACTCTAACTTTGCAGAAAATCTTCAAAGGGATTTTTCTTATAACTACCTCCTTTGTTACATATAATATGGTAAGATATAAACAAAAATAATGGCTGAAAATTTCCAGAAGTAATGAGAGACACTAATCTTTAGATTCAGAATGTTCAATCAATCCTGACCAGGTTAAATGAAAATAAATCCACACTTGCATACATCACAAGGACCTGCACCAGAGACAATAAGTTCTTAAAAGCAACCAAAGAAAAAAAGTATCACCAGATAAGCTATACAGAAAGGATAATTAGACTGATAGCTGGCATCTCAACAATTAAAAATGGGAAATAATTACACATAAAGACATTATAAGAAAAATCACTCCCATGTCTCAGGTGCTAAGTAAAATGAATGTTAATCTAAACACAAGGTCAGCAAACTATGGCCTGCAGGTCAAACAAATCCAACCCATTTTTATATGGCCAACAACACTAAGAATACTTTTTACATTTTTTTAAAAAGATTTTATTTATTTATTTATTTATTTATTTATTTATTTATTTGAGGGAGAGAGAGAGCGCGCTCACACGCACTTGTGCAAGCAAGGAGGGGCAGAGGGGGAAAGAATCTGAAGTAGACTTCACACTGAGCGGGGAGCCTGATGTGGGGCTCAATCCCATGACCATGAGATCATGACCTGAGTCAAAACCAAGAGTCAGACACTCAACCAATTGAGCCACCCAGGCACCCGTTTTTACATTTTTAATAGTTTTTACATTTTTTAATATTTTGTAACACCTGAAAATTATATAAAATTCAAATTTAAGTGTCTAAAATAAAATTTTATCAGAACATAATCGCACACACGTTTATTTCTTGTCTATGGTTGCTTCCACACTACAACTGCATAGTTGAGTTACTTGCAACAGAGACTGGCCCACAAAGCCCAAAATATTTATTACTGGCCCTTTACAAAAAGTTTGTCAACCTCAGGTCTTACATCTATCAAAACTAACTTTCATGGCACCAGGCTGACTCAGTCGGAAGAGAATGTGACTCTTGATCTTGGGGTTTTAAGTCTAAGACCCATGGTGAGTGTAGAGATTACCTAAAAAAAACTTTAAAAAATTTTTTGTTTAAATAAACTTTTAAAGGATATACATTAAGAAAAAGGAAAAGGGGCGTCTGGGTGGCTCAGTTGGTTAAGCGACTGCCTTCAGCTCAGGTCATGATCCCAGGGTCCTGGGATCAAGTCCCGCATCGGGCTCCCTGCTCCGCGGGGAGCCTGCTTCTCCCTCTCCCGCTCCCCCTGCTTGTGTTCTCTCTCTCGCTGTGTCTCTCTCTGTCAAATAAATAAATAAAATCTTTAAAAAAAAAAAAAGGAAAAGAACGCCAGAATGAAGGAGTGGAATGAGCAAAGGAATTGGTAAAATATGGAAGTATTCTAAACATCCACTAACTGAATAAAACAAAAGTATAATTTGTGGTGTTGAGAAACACAAAAACTATAAAACTGAACAACAGTAGCATGAACTGACAGAAGGCAATGAGTAATGAAGCATTTGATAATCCCTACATTACTGAGTTTTAAATTTAAACTTTCAGTTGAATATTTTTAAAAAATTGTATACTCAGGGCGCCTGGGTGGCTCAGTCGTTAAGCGTCTGCTTTCGGCTCAGGTCCTAGTCCCAGGGTCCTGGGATCGAGCCCCGCATCAGGCTCCCTGCTCCACGGGGAGCCTGCTTCTCCCTCTCCCACTCCCCCTGCTTGTGTTCCCTCTCTAGCTGTGTTTCTGTCAAATAAATAAAACCTTTTTAAAAAAAAAAAAAATTGTATACTCATTAAAGGAAGACTAAAGAATAGAGTATATAACTTACAAGTAATTAAATGAGAAGAGGAGAGAGAGAAAAAGAAACTCAGAAAAAAAAAAGGCAAGACAAGAAAGAGAAAAAAATGAAATTCTCCAGTTATCAGGGTGGATGTTTTAAAAAATCTAGATGTATGCTATTTATATAAAGACACATCTAAAACAGGCAAAGAAAAACAAAGTAAAACGATGGAAAAAGACACACCAGGAGAACAGAAACAAAAAGAAAACTAAACTAGCCATATTAACATTAAACAAAACAGACTTCAATAGAAAAAGATTTAGGGGTGCCTGGGTGGCTCAGTCAGTTAAGCCTCTACCTCTGTCTTCAGCTCAGGCCATGATCCCAGCATCCTGGGATCAAGTCCCCCATCGGGCTCCCTGCTCTGCGGGAAGCTGGCTTCTCATTCTCGCTCTGCCTGCTGCTCTGCCTACTTGTGCTATCTCTCTGTCAAATAAATAAATAAAATCTTTTTAAAAAGAGAAAAAGCTTTATCAGGGAAATGAAAATGAATTAAGATAAAGACTAAAAATGAACAAGGCAAATTTAAAAACCTTTAGAGGGCTCCTGGGTGGCTCAGTCGTTAAGCGTCTGCCTTCGGCTCAGGTCATGATCCCAGTGTCCTGGGACTGAGTCCCCATCAGGCTCCCTGCTCAGTGAGAAGCCTGCTTCTCCCTCTCCCACTCCCCCTGCTTGTGTTCCCTCTCTCGCTGTCTCTCTCTGTTGAAAAGCAAATAAAATCTTAAAAAAAAAAAAAAACCTTTAGAAAAAATATAGGATAGGGAAGGATTACTTCAGTAAGATATAAAAATACAAACCAATTGAGAAAAGATCTAAATATTCAACTACATTAAAATTAAGAACTTCCAGGGGTGCCTGGGTGGCTCAGTCGTTAAGCGTCTGCCTTCGGCTGAGGTTATAATCCCAAGGTCCTGGGATCGAGTTGGGGGGAAGCCTGCTTCTCCCTCTCCCTATCCCACTCCCCCCTTGCTTGTGTTCCTGCTCTCGCTAACTCTCTCTGTCAAATAAATAAATAAAATCTTTAAAAAAAAAATTTTTAAAATAAATAAAATTAAGAGCTTCTGTTCCAAAAAGGAAGTGAAGATAGAAAACTAAGAGAAGGGGCGCCTGGGTGGCTCAGTCGTTAAGCGTCTGCCTTCAGCTCAAGTCATGATCCCAGGGTCCTGGGATCAAGTCCCGCATCAGGCTTCCTGCTCTGCGGGAAGCCTGCTTCCCCCTCTCCCATGCCCCCTGCTTGTGTAGCCTCTCTCGCTGTGTCTCCTTCTGTCAAACAAATAAATAAAATCTTTTTTTTTTTTTTAAGATTTTATTTATTTATTTGACAGAGAGAGACACAGCGAGAGAAGGAACACAAGCAGGGGGAGTGGGAGAGGGAGAAGCAGGCTTCCCGCTGAGCAGGGAGCCCGATGCGGGGCTCGATCCCAGGACCCTGGGACCATGACCTGAGCCGAAGGCAGACGCTTAACGACTGAGCCACCCAGGCGCCCCATAAAATCTTTTTTAAAAAAAAGAAAACTAAGAGAAGATACTTGCAATACAAAACCAAAAAAATAAATAAAAAGATAAAGGATTATCAGCCAGAACCTATAACTAACTACAAAACAATCAGTAAAAAGAAAACAGGGGGGCGCCTGGGTGGCTCAGATGGTTAAGCATCTGCCTTCGGCTCAGGTCATGATCTCAGGGTCCTGGGATCGAGTCCCACATCGGGTTCCCTGCTCAGTGCAGAGCCTGCTTCTCCGTCTCCCTCTGCCACTCCCTCTGCTTGTGCTCTTCTCTCTCTGTCAAATAAATAAATAAAATCTTTAAAAAAAAAAGAAAACAGGGGTGGGAGGACGGGTTAGCCTGGTGATGGGTATTAAAGAGGGCACATTCTGCATGGAGCACTGGGTGTTATGCACAAACAATGAATCATGGAACACTATACCAAAACTAATGATGTAATGTATGGTGATTAACATAACAATCAAAAAATTAAAAAAAAAAAAAAAACAGTAAGAAAAACGTCCAAGTAGAAAAATAAGCAAAACATGGGGCTCCTGGGTGGCTTAGTCAGTTAAGCATCTGCCTTCGGCTCAGGTCATGATCCCAGGGTCCTGGGATCGAGCCCCGCATCAGGCTCCTTGCTCAGCAGGAGCCTGCTTCTCCCTCTCCCTCTGACCCTCCCCCTACACTCGTGTTCTCTCTCGCTCACTCACTCTGCTCTCTCTCAAATAAATAAGTAAAAATTCTTAAAA